CTCTCTCTCTCTCTCTATATATATATATATATATATGTGTGTGTGTGTATATATATTAAACGAATTTAAAAATGACTTAGTTTTTCAAAGGTTTAATCTACTTATTATGTTCATATTCGTTGATGCTAATGTTACCTGCTGATAAACGAGCTGCTAATTATCTGGCAACTACATGTTAGAATTAATTGCATGGAATAATAAAATATGATTATGAATAAAATGAAGACTTACAATTCTCGTAGACGAGGAAGACTTTTTATGGCTACAGGAAGCTTTTCCAATTTGTTGCTATTTATTTCCCTAGAAATTGTTACATTAATTACTAAATGTTTTTTCTTTAAAAGAAACAACAACAAGAAAGTGATAATTTGCTTCAGACCGATAAGAACAGAAATAACTATACGCATGTTGCACATAAAAACGCAAAAATTGTATAATATTTTTTACGGTTTATTTAACTCTGTAACTGATTTAATAATAAAATTGACTTTATTTCAGTTACATTAGTATCTAAGGTTTCATGAAATGTTTATAGGTCATCAATTGAAATATTGTCATTAAAAACACAATGCTTATAAATAAATGAAATGATTCATTGTTCTGTTAATAAGACGCCCCTGTTTACACGTTTAGCATGAAAGCTACTCATGCCCCTGTTATATCCTTCTAGTTAATATTTGCTGTAAAAGTTTAAATAATAACAAAAAAAAGAAATATTAGAGCCTGCTAGGTAGGATTCAAATTATTTTGGTTGGCCAAACTGTCACACGAGACACGGATATATTTAGCTTAAATTCCTTAAAAACACAAAAACAAACTGGTCTGGAGAGTCAATGCTATAGTTTCCTAATTTTATTTTTGAAACGTGATATATCATCTGACAGGTATAACATATCCAGAGTAAACGAACAGGGCCGTTTGTTCCAAACATTCACGCAAAGTTATACAAAGGTTTATCTGTGTTAGCCATCACTAATTTGTAACTCATACCTCAGGAGAAATGCAGGTTATCAGCAATACCTACCATTCACATTAGGGTTGCTTTAATAGAATATTAAGATTTGACTATCTAACGCATCCACTATTCCAAATTGCTAAGTGCTAATTTCTAGGACTCAAACCAGAACCACTCGGATACACAGACTGGTATGCTAACCATTGGATCAAACAGAACTGAAGAAGAGTATGAACCAAAGAAAGTAATAAAAAAAGGATCATTAGAAAAAAATCTTAAAGTAGAATAATAATAAATGCATGTTTTCAAAAGTGGAAAACAAAACTTATTATTTATTAGATATAACGATCACAGAAATAAATATAAAAAAGTATAGACAAATATATAGCTATAAAATATTTAAAAATAAGTGGAAAATTAAAAAAGAACTTTCTTAAAAAAGCTTAGACAGAAACAACTGGTAGCAACTTATCAATAGAGGAAGATAACCTTTTTTTGGGAGGGATGAATTATTAAAAGTCGAAGATCACTGATATCAGAGACAGGGTTAATGGCTTTAGTAATTGGGAATAGAAGATCAATAAGCCTTTTTATTTTATTTTTTTATCTGCGTGATGTCTAAGTCACTGCAAACTCTAGTTTTGATATCGAAAAGAAAATTCTTATTTATTCACTGATCGAATAAACTACTTGGCTGATGTGTTTGGCAGTAATCAGTTTTTTTGTGTATGGATGGAATACAGAAGCCTTTTAGACTCGTAATCTATATAAATATACACTTGCATTTGTCTGTTTGTTTGTCCGGAACTTTTCTCGCAAATTTCTCAATCAAACGCTACAACTCTCATATCGTTAAAAAGGCCTTTGTCCGATGAGTCCAGATTGCATATTGGCTTTTCCATTCAGAATCACCTTACCTGTTTTCTGCTTAGCCAAACTTTTCAATGCAACGCGTATGGTACACGACGGCACAATTTCGTTGTCATCACGTGACGGCTAGCTTCGATTTCAACTTTAGTTTTTGTATTTGCAAAGTATTTTACACAAACAACACTTAATCCGCGTGTAATTTCCTAAAAAAATTAACATTACACTAAATATAATTATTATGGGCTTTCTCGACCTATTTTGGTCTAAAATACGCATGTACAATTCGTTCAAAACCAGATGTTTATCTCTTTGTGAACACGCATTCAGACGTTTCTGCATATGCAGCTAAGTTGGTCTTCATTACAACTTTACATTTACTTTACATTGCAATGACTTAGCTTTGGCTCGTTTCATAGACTGCTAAAAACACCTTTTAGCTACTTTTTCTTTGGTACGGATGGTTTTATTCTTCGTTTTTGTGAGTTTCTTTGTTACACCTTGTCATACACTGAACGCTTATAATTGTTTCATACTCTCTTCACTATTATAAATATCATTACTATACTTTACTGTTTACTTTATGTGTAGTTTTATCAAATAAAGTTACATCTACGTGAGTTTGTTTGTCTGACCACGTAAATTTTTTTAAATAGACCAGGATTTATCGATCTAACACATAATGCCTGCAAAAAAGCGTAGGTTAAATGGTTTGCTTGAAAATGATAGAATAAGAAAAATTCAAACAAAGGGCAAGAAAACTACCATAAATATTTTGCGGGTCGCGGCTAGTTTTCAAAAATTTTATGAGGTACTATGGGGTCGAACTCTGATAATGTCTAAGTTGTTGTAGTAATGGAAAGTGGTTTTATTTGTAACAGGTTTTTATACATCGACTTCCTGTTCGGGAAAAGACAGGAACGAAACTAATGAAAGGACATAACAACAAAACAGAGAAAAAAAAATAAAGATTACAAACATAGAGGTAATAAATTACATTTGATAAATGGAATAATTGAATTAGGAAAAATTAAATTAAACACTGGCCATTTCATAAGTAGATAAATTAGAATTAAGATAAGTTTGTTTTGTTTTGTTTGAATTTCGCGAAAAGCTACACGAGGGCTACTGCGCTAACCGTCCCTAATTTAGCAGTGTAAGACTAGAGAGAAGACAGCTAGTCATCACCACCCACCATCAACTCTTGAGCTACTCTTTTACCAACGAATAGTGGGATTGACAGCCACATTATGACGCCCCCACGGCTGAAAGAAACAATCAAGTAAATTTACCTATCTACATTATATTTAACCATAGTTTTGATAACCGAATGAACCAAGATGTAGATGGAATGGTCAAGAGTAGATCTAAAAATGGGGTTATTCAATATAATGATGATTTTAGCTTTACATTGTTTAAAATGATGTTGTCTTACTCAGTTTTATATTTATTTATTATTGCATAGAAAATTTCATTGCGTTTGTTAAAAAAAACTGGTAAATTATTTTCATGAACTTACAGAGAGGTTTGCAACGTACTTCGTGAGAAAAACGACAAACATTTTGTAAACAGGTATAATGAACTTAAGCGTTGACCAATATATATATATATATATATTTGACATTTTTTATTCGTAACTAATTAATATTAACAACACTTTAATTGCTGTTTAAAATAGTTTTATTTTCGCTAGATTATGTTTCTACTCTTGAGAAAAAATTGTTTTAGGTTCCTAGTGTTAGATTGTTTGAGGCTGGCATTTTGTGTTGTTGTTAAACTTTTTGATGTTTCTACCAATATGTAACTACTTTATCGTAAAATCTGCTTAAAACAGCTATTCGTCTTCCGATGAAACAGCGGTACATTTCCGGTTTTCAAACGTTAAAATCTGGGCTTTGATTTCCCGCGGTGGATACATCAGATAGCCTAATGTTGCTTTTTTTTTAAAACAAGCAAAGAAATAAAACAATTATTTTCTCAATCTCCTATTGTTGGTTTTTCTCCAGGTTATTTTTCTATTCTTGATAAGTAATTGTGTTATTAATTTTGGTGTCTAATGGCCCTAATGACGAAAAGCCAATCATCCGAAAATGCTACGATTATCGGATATTTTAAATTATAATTTAACCACTATTGTGGTCTTTCGTGGTTTCAAAGTTTCATCAATTATCCATATTTATGTCTACACAGAGAGATATACTGTTTTTCTATCGTTTCTTCCTTCTTTTTTCTTCCAAACACTTTTTGATGGACCGCCATTCTTTCACTTCTCAGCGGATTGACTTGAAACTTGATAGGGTTATACCTTGGTTCAATACGCCCAAATGCGTTTTTAATTTTTGTTATTTATACCTTTTTAAGGTTTTTATGGGTTCTAAGGTAAAACAACCAGAAAATGTATATTTTGGGCTCCTGTGCAGTCATATTTGTAGCAATGAAGAAGATAAATTTTCAAGCACACAACACATTGATATACAAAAAAGTTAAGTTTGCCTATTTTGAATCTTTTTAGGAGGTTAGAGCTCATGAAAAGCACAATTGTAGAGTTTTAGGCCAATTACTCTGCCGTATTCTGACCAATTTACATGGGATTTGGCATGAAGATACTTTTTTACAGGTCTCACACATTGGCAAACCAAAATGGCGGACTTGTCCATTTTTAGTAATTATAGGGGGAGTGAAGATGCCACAAAAAGCATAATCTTAGTGTTGTTTCACCATATTTTGGCCAATTTACATAGAATTTGATAAAAAGATACCTTTTATAGGTCCCAAACGGAGGTACAGACAATTTTGAGTTTTTGTCTTTTGCTTAATTTTTAGCGAGGAAAACACAATTTGGAGTTTTCATGAACTATTCACATGTATGTCAACCAAATAACACGGGATTTGGTACAAAGATACCTTCTTGCATGTCTCAAGCAGTGATATAAACAGTTTTCAATTTCTCTGATGTCAAAATTGGTCATGTTCGGATTGTATGGCAGAGACATGTTGCATTCGCCCTCGAATTTTGGCCTTTTCAATTATATCTAAGACCTTCTCTTACTTTACAGGCAAGCTCTTTGCATGGGATCATGGGAGCTTTCTCGTGAAACTTATCAACAGAGAACGAAGTAATATAATGTCTAAATATATCTAATACTTTACCAAGAGTAAAAAATACAAACCAATATTTGACCTCCTATAATTACTATAAATGGGCAAGTCTTCCATTTTTGTTTGTCCATGTGTGGTACCTGTAGAAAAGTATCTTTGTACCAAATTCTATGTAAATTTGTCACAATACTGCGAGTACTTGACCAAAAAACTACAAAATTATGCTTTTTGTGAGCTATTTCCCCCTAAAAAGATTCAACTGGGCAAATACAACTTTTTTGTCAGTTAATGTGTTGGACGCATGAAAGTTTATAATTATGGCAGTTTTCATCTTTATTGCTGTATGAGCGCACAAGAGCCCAAAATACAAATATTTGGATTGTTTGTCTTTGATCCCATAACATCCCTAAAAAGATGTTTGGGCTTATTGGACCAAGGTATAATCCTACCAAGTTTCAAGTTAATCCGTCTAGAAATTAAGGAATGGGGGGTCGATCAAAATGTGTTTGGAAGAACAAGAAACAACAGAAATACAGTACATCTCCTTGCGGAGACACAAATATACAGTCAGTTAAATTTCCAGATTCAAAAAGTAAAATCTAATAATATCATGTTAACTACAGTACGCTACATTTATTTCTACGTGATACAGCACATCCGAGGACATACGTTACATATAACCAGTAGTCACTTCAGTCAAGCATACTTTTACTAATCATCACACTTCCTTTTAGACCACTTTGCTGAGGAAGCAAAGCCCACAGTAAACCATTTCTGTGTTTCAGCTTCGCGAACGTGACCTGACAGAGCAAGTGGATTATGTACATATTTCACAATTTATCCATGGCATTACACGTTTCTCCCTCACACCCTGGATTATGCTGCAGTAATCGACACAATACCATATTTTCTCTAGTTAACCAGTTACTAACCTCAAAAAAGGTATCTGGAATATCTATATAAAATATATTTAATAGTACTCACAGAACCTTAAGGGAGTAAAGACCCTGGAAAGCTTTTTCTTCAATAACATTGATGTCGTTCTTTTGAAGTATCCTGTATAAAGAACATGGAAATATAATGGAAAAAAAAATACAACAACTTTTTCCGTCAGTGGCTTTAATCAATGTGAACTTATTGTAATGGTGTTCCGTCTACAAAGCATATACACTTATATAGAAGATGCTTATTATAAAGCACAATAAACCTATGGCGCCACTTGTTAACGAACTTGATAAAGAGAAGGAAGTCCCAATCTTAAGTAAATATTAAGGTATAAATAACAAAACGTTATAAACACGCTAGTGCCATCTTTCTTTAAATCTATTTTTGCTAATCCGTAAAGAAAAATAGAAAAGAAAGTTTTGATACGCAATGCAGTATCTTTACACAGATACAAAATGATATCTTAGAATATTGTTCTGTGATACACTTATTTTATAAATTGGTTTACAAACGTAGAGATACTTACAGGACAACAAGGTCTGTCAGGTTTTCAAATGCATAATTTGGAACTGTTTGAATTTTGTTGGCAGCTAGATTTCTATTAAAAAAATATAATTAGAACTTGTAAAAAACATAACGAGACGTTTTAGTTTGTCAGTACAGATAGTCTTTGAAACAAAACATTAAGCCTCAACTATCCAAGAAAATTACATGAAACTAAATACTACAAATTTATGAGAATTGTGTGACAGTTTGCTAATATAATATTTAAGTATATTGATAAAGTTTTGAAATACAATAACTAGAAAGAATTATATAAACATTTGATTTTGTGTACGACTAAAGCATCTCTAGGAAGTTCATATATTTCGTGATATTTATTACTTAGCAGATGGGATAGAGTGCAGAAGTGGAGCACTTGATATTAGTTATACATTTCTGCCACTGGAATAAACAAACAATCTAGTGTAATGTGATAATTACTTACAAAGCTTGCAACTGTGGTACTTTCGCTAGTGCTGCCACTGGAATTTCCGTCAGGAGGTTTCCGTCTAACCATAACCTCTGCAAATTTTTTAAATTTGACAGACTCCCCTCAGGAATATGTAAGATTTTATTACCATTACTGTATCTGAAATAAAATCGAGTTTTCAAAGGCATGTAAAATGAAAATATCAGTTATAATATCAATCATACTAAGTAGGTTATTAAATTAACAAGCTTAAAAACTGAAGTTGGCAAACCATAGATCAGAAACGTGAAAATCACGACAGGTCTGGCTTTATTATTCAGAGGTTTTCGTTCAAGTGAACAGCTTTTTTTATCAGTCAACATTGACTATATGTATTAGTTAGTGTTTTAAATGAATAACATCATTATGAGAAGAAGTATCCTAACTCAAATGAGACAACAAAACCCATGTTATGTTCAATTCAGAACTGACCTGGCAGGAGGTTTTATTAATAAGTTCTGCACTGGGTTGTTTGTTTGTTTGTTTGTTTTTAATTAAGCACAAAGCTACACAAGGGCTATCTGTGCTCTGCCCACCACGGGTATCGAAACCCGGTTTCTAGCGTTGTAAGTCCGCAGACATACCCCTGTGCCATTGGGGGGCCACTGGGTTGGTATCCTCATCTATAACATCCTTAACTCCAGTAGGTGAAGTATCATGTTTCGTATTTTACATTTAATTAGACCTGATACGTTTGAAAATGCAGTTTTTAGCTCGTTATATAGTATGCCTTATTGTCCGACATGGACTGGGAACTTGGGTCAGCTGTAAAGTTGTTCAGTCTTGAAACCTTTCTTTTTAGAACGATAGAAAATTCAGCTAGTTATATTAATAATTACTACACTATAAAAACTGTTATTTATCGCGAGGACAAATTAAGTTAAAAAAAATGCTGTGCTTTGGCTTTGCTCACCGCGGATAATGAAACCCGATTTTGAGCATTATAAGTCCTCAGACTTATCATTGAGCCACCGGGGACGTACAGATGAAAGGTTTACGTTTTTAATTTAATTATTTCAGTCAAAAATTAAAATATTCGTAACCTATCTACAAAATCATAATTATAATACAAATATTTCTTATATGAAATGTCACAACTGTCGTCTATATAAATATATTACATGTTTAGTAAATGTTTGCAGCACAATTTAATATGCTGAAAGCTTATTATCCTTTTTAATATTCTAATATTATTTCAAAATGGCAACCAGTAAAGAACTAGTTAAATCATTTATTAAAACAACTTGTCAGTATCTTTTAATTTCACTTACAGTATTTCTAAACTTGGAACCTCACGTAACGCTTCCTCTGGTACTTTCTCAAATTTATTGTTTTGCAGAGATCTAAATATTAAATAATAATAAAAACTAATTAATTTTTCACACACACACACACATATATATATATATATTTATTTATTTTGAAATACGATTTTTTAAGTTACAAAAGTGAATTTAAAAATCTAATTACATTAACCTTATAAAAAATGTGGACACACTTTAATTACTTCGGTAGTTAAACTGATTACTGTTACTGAAAAAAAAGCCAGTTGATAAGGGATGACCACCACAGACAATGGGGTTGAAGAATATTAAACCATCAGATTTGGATTTACTCGTAACATGACAATAAAATATACGTTAATAGATAGAACAAATCTTTACTCTATACTACTTAAAACTGAGAAAATCGTCTTTATTATCAATAGTTTCTTATAAGCAATAGTAAAAACTGTTTATTTTTATTCTGTAAAATCAACTGCATCAATCGGCCTAAAATCGTGTTTCTTGTAACATTAATGTAACAAACATAACTTGAATTTCTGTAGTTATGAAAACGAAAAGTATGCAAAAGTAAAGGCAGCTGAGAATCTAATATTATAATCTAATTATAATATTATAATCATTTGTTCATAAAAATCAATGAACAAAAACAGTTAAATAATTAAAAAATCAGTCGAGTATTCGATATTTTAAGAACCCCAGACTTTAGCGTAGACTTACCGCTCTCCTACCAGGGGACTTACTGTTGACCACAAAGCTACACAATGGACTATGTAATGACTGGAGACGGCTTGAATGGGTAATGAAGAAAAACTTTAATATAACTTTAACATAACAGCAAATGTACAACGTTTCGACAAGGTTTTGTCATCATCAGGTACGAGACCTTGTCGAAACGTTGTACATCTGCTGTTATGTTAAACTTATATTAAAGTTTTTCATTACTCATTCAAGGCGTCTCCAGCCATTTTTAGACTCAAAGTGGGTTTCTCGTCATCGAAAATGGACTATGTGTGCTGTGCCCACCACAGGTTTAGCGTTATAGGCCTTCTAACGTACCTCTGATCCACTGGGGGTGATTCGAAGTACAACAAAGGAAAAAGTAAGAATGAGTGGATCAGCCTCACTACAAGCTCAAAGAACTATAATTTGCCTTAAAATTCACTCGACAGTTAGAATTATGAAAACTGCTGTTTAAGAGAAATAGCCTTGCAATATATATTTTGTATAAATTTTATCTAAATGTATATGTGTATATATATGGGAAAATTTAACACCATTACAGTTTCTAGAAAAGAATATTGAAATTACAATTACATTATTGACTATATGAACTAGTTTATTAGATTGACAAGCTGAAGAACTGATGTTACCAACACGTAGCTGTTAAGCACATTAAGTTTGGTAACATCTGTTCATTGAAAACAAATTGTTCACTTCCATCCAGGTTAAAAATGCCCTTCTAACTTTTGAAATTGACTTAATACGTATTTATACATATATGTAGTATTTATGTATGTATTTCAATACTTACAAAACCTTGAGATGGAAAAGACCGTTGAAGACGTTTGAC